TAAATCTTTTACCTTTTAGCAAGATGTCATGGGTGACTTCATGTTCTATCAAACATTCATCCTTTGTGAAGTTGATTCGGAACCCTTTGTCACACAATTGACTTATGCTAAGTAGGTTGTGTTTAAGGCCTTCCACATAAAGAACGTCTTCGATGATTGAACATGGAGGTGCACCAATGGTTCCAACTCCAAGAATTTTTCCTTTATTATCATCACCGTAAGTAACGTATCCTTTGGCCTTTAATGATAGACTTGAAAATTTGTTTATGTCTCCCGTCATATGCTTAGAACAACCACTATCAAGATACCATTGATTAGAAGTTGTCTTCAAGCATACTTATAACACAAAATCAAGTAGTGTTAGGTACCCAAATTGCTTTGGGTCCTTGATAGTTAGTACCCTTTTCAACCCACACATAATGCCCTTTAGCAACACCAATGTTGTGCACATAGCAAGCATTAGGTGTATGGCCTTTAATTCCACAATAAAAACAAGTAGGTTAAAAATGACTTCTATATCTAGGAACATAATTCTTTTTCTTCACAATTATTTTCTTTTTATGACTTTGATGCATAGTTTTAGAATTGTTTTCCTTTTCTTTAACAACTTATTCACTTGCTTTCATAAAAATGGTTTCATTGGTACTTGGTTTGGAAAACTTATATCCTAATCCACTTTTATCATTAGAATATCTTTGGTGCCTAAGAATTTCCTCCAAGTCAATTTGACCTTTTTCGTATCTTTCTAAAACTCTTTTAAGTTGAACAATTTGAAAAGATAAGGATTCAAGATTTTTGCATACAAGACTTTGTTTTTCATCCACCAATTTTTGTTTTTCATTTTCAATATTTTTTATAAAAGCGGTATTTTGTTCTTCTAAAAATGAAATTCTTTTCTTTTGGGATGAGATGCTTTTATACAAAGTCTTGCATTCTTTTAGAAGTTCATCTATGACTTCTTGTGCATCATTGTCATAAATAGAAAAGTCGTTACTAACCTCATCAATTTCTTCATCGGAATGATGTGATACCATAAGAGTCATATTTGCACATTCATCGCTTTCCGATTCCGATGATGAACTTATCTCGTTATCGTCCCAAGCAACATAAGCCTTTTTATTTTTGAAATCCTTCTTGCCTTTGAATCCTCCTTTCTTTGCAAGTTTCGAGCAATCCGGCTTTATGTGACCTTGCTTCCCACATTCGTAGCATGTGACTTCTTGATTCGATGTGGATGCATCCTTTTTCCTGAAATGTCTATTCTTTTTAGGAAAAGAGGAATTTTTATTATTATTAAAAAACTTACCAAGCTTCTTTACAAGAAGCATGAAATTTTCATCTTCGGAAGTCTCGTCGTCTTTGTCATCCTTTGTGTCAATCTTCAAGGCAATCCCTTTGGACTTCTTTTCTTGACTTTCGTGTTTCTCGAGTCTTCCAAGTTCCAATTCATGCTCTTGAAGTTTTCTAAATAAGCATGCAGATGTCATCATTGAGAGACTCTTCTTTTCCGAAATAGCGGTCACTTTTGGTTGTCATTCTCTTGTTAAGGATCTTAGGACTTTCAGGTTGAGATCATCATTGGTGAATGTCTTCCCGAGAGAAATTAAATGATTTGTTAGATGAATGAATCTCTTTTGTAAGGCAACAATAGATTCACCGGGCTGCATACGAAACATCTCATATTCTTGACTTAAAGTGTTGAGTCTTGATCTTTTTACTTCAGCGGTTCCTTCATGCGTTTCTACCAAGGTATCCCAAATCTCTTTTGTCGATCTACACTGTGATACATGAAAGAATTCGTCCATACTAAGAGCGTTTTGGAGTATGTTGATTGCTTTCTTCTCATCAAGAATCTTTTTCTTATCATTTTCATCATACGTGTTTTTCAACTTTGCGGTTCCAACGCCATTGACCATATTTACTGGATTGTGTGGTCCTTCTTCGATTGCTTCCCATATACCTTCTCCTTGGGCTTCAAGATGTGCCTTCATTCTGATTTTCCAGAAATCGAAATATTCTCCAGAGAATAATGGTGGTTTGTTACTACTTCCACCGTCTTTGAAAACCGGGTTGGTGCTAGCGGAAGCCATACTGAATCGTTAGGAACAGGTTACCTTAACCTGCTTTGATGTCAATTATAATTTCAGAGTATTCCTAAGAGGGGGTGAATTAGGCTTTAGAAACTTTTTCCTGTTTTTTGATATACTTGAATTTTTCTTCTTTAAGTTCCTGGTGATGAAAGCAGTAAAAGCATAAAGAAAATGAACACAGAGATTTATAGTGGTTCCCTTCACAATCCGAAGGTACTCCACTCTCCTTTCCACATGAAAGAGAGTTTTCACTATAGTTTTAGAAAGTACAACCTATCACACCATCAACCGGTGAGGCCTACAATCTAACAACTAATCAACAACTAGTGTGCAAGAACAATCCTCTTGCAAACACTAACCCTTGTGTCCAACAATCCTGGATCACAAGTCACAATAGAAATAACTTTGTATTTTTATAATTTTGAAAGTGATACAATGATAATATCAATCTAATGATTGATCTTCTCCTTTTGATCAAAATCCACTCTTCAATATCAATACAAGTGTTCAAAAACTGGATGTGAAATTGTATGAACAATATGAACACTTTTTTGAAAATATTTGAAAATATTTGAAAAGTAGTGAATTTGATTCAATGAATATTTTGAAAATTATTGGAGGTGTTTTTCAATTTGAAATTTTCAGAATTTATATGAGCAAAACACCATTTCAAAAAGGTATAATTGAGTCTGAATCAAAACATGAAAAGGTATAATACTCAAGCAACATTTGAATTTTAACAGCAACAATTTTTCAAAATCCGTTCAGTGTTAATCGGTTAACCCTATAGGTTAATCGGTTAACACTTGAACGTTGGCCCAGAGAATTTAAAATTTGAGGTCGTTAACCGATTAACCCATATGGTTAATCGGTTAACACTGTTAAAACTCAGAAAAATGCTTGAGTTAAAAAGTGTTATACCAATCCAAATGATTTTAAAAATATGCAAATGCAATATGTAAATATGATAAGTATTTGAACACTTGTATATCAATTAAAGGAGTGAATATTGATATACCGAAGCTTGAGTCCAAATCTTGAAAGTTGTAGGATCATTTGCACATGATGCTTGATTTGCTTGACAATATTCCATAGTCTTGATATGCTTCTGGTTTTATCTTTAGTGTATATACCCCCACGGGTATATAGTGCAAGCAGCTTCTTAGAACATATACCCCCACGGGTATATAGTGTAAGTATCTTGATCAATTTTGAAAGCTTTGAATTTTTGCTTGCAATCATTGAGAGCTTGAGCCTTTGTTGACATCATCAAAACCTTGAGATTGAAATGTGCTTCTACACAAATTTAGGTTTGTGGTCATAAAGCCCCTTTCCGAAGCGGCCAAGAGCTCTTTGGTCACGATGGAGACGCTAAAGGAAGATGGTCGGGAAGTGGTGCATCGCATATCAAAGTTTCCCTTGGAATGGGTGTACGCTCATTTTCAGTATAGGACGGACCAATTTCTCGTGAAGCATGACCAGTTTTGCTCCGAGGACAAGAAGTCTCTTCGAGCACTGATAGCATTTATTGAGAGCTTTACCCCTGTTGTCGTCGTGGATAAGGATGTCAACATACTCTGCTCTGAAGATGGGGATCCTGATCGGGTGGTTCGTTATATAAATACTAAATCCCTTCTTGATTGTCGGACTGAGGTCGAGGCGTTCGAGCTTCTAGGTATAGATGATGTGTTCAGTTTGTTTCTTGGTGTTTTAATATCGTGCTGACCTGTTTGTTTCTTTGAAGGAAAGATGTTGAGTTTACGTGAACGCTTGATCAAGTCCGCTGCAGCTAAAAATGTCAAAAAGGTTTCGACCTCGAGAGTGGATGCGGTCAGGCAGCAGGCGACCCTGGAGAAGTTTGTCGGTCCTTCGTCATCACCGGGCAGCACCTCTAACCCTCCTTGCCACACCCTCGTTTTCACCCTAACTCTTTCACTCATACATTTATCGTATCATCCATCATATCATGGTGCTTACCAAGCATGTGGGTTTGCCAGAAAAGGACATGGAAGTTATTTTTGTTTTAAGACAGAGATTAGATTGGTTCAATGGTCATTAATCAAATTATGATGAGAACTTGACTTAATCTGAGTTAATAAACAAAACATGTTGTGTGTTCTTGCCAGT